CCTTTTATTACCCTTCCCCATCCATCCCACCTTCCCTACACCTTTAGCCCCTTTCTTCCCATTTCACCATGTCAGTAATCTTATTAGGATCTTATGTATTATTGTAGTTTATTCACACCAGAGAAACTATTTGGTATTTACAAATGTGTGACTTATCTATTTCACTTAGGAGTGTATCTTCAATATGTATCCATTTTCCTATGAATGAATATATTTTCTCCTTCTTTATGTCTGAGTAATATTCCATTGTATAAAAAAACCACATCTTCTTTATCCAGTTTCCAACTGATGGGCAAATGGGCTGCTTTCAAGTTTTAGCTATTACAAACTGTGCAGCTATAAACATGGGTGCACATATATCACTGTGATATGATTCTTTTAGTTCTTTTGGAAAGAAACCCAGCAGAGGGATGGCTGGGTCTAATGGAACCTCCAGTCCTAGCTCTTTGAGGTATCTCCATATTGATTTCCATAGTGGTTGCACCAGTCTGCACTCCCACCAACAATGGAGAAGGGTTCCTTTCTCCCCACAACCCCACCAACATTTATTGTTGTTTGATTTCTTGATAGCAGCCATTCTTTGTGGGGTGAGGTGGAATCTCAGTGTTGTTTTCATCTGCATCTCTCGAATGATCAGTGATGTGGAACATTTTTTCATATATTTACTTGCTGCTTTTACTTCTTTGTCTGAGAAATGTCTGTTCATTTCAGATGCCCATTTTTGAATCAGGACTTTATATTTGGGGGGGCTGATTTTTTTGAGTTCGTTATATATTCTAGATAATAGTCCTTTGTCTGAGGTACAGCTGGTAAAAATTTTTTCCCACATTGTAGATTGTCTCTTAGTTCTGCTGATGGTTTCTTTTGCAGTACAGAAGCTTTTTAGTAAGATGAGATCCCAGTTGTTGATTCTATTTGCTAGTTCCCGTGCTACTGAGGATTTGTTCATAAAGTCTTTTCCTATGCCAATGTCTTCCAGAGTTCTGCCTAACTACCTTCCAGCAAGTTTAATGTTTCTGCTTTAATATTTAGATCTTTAACCCACTTGGATTTTAATTTAGTGCATGGTGAAAGATAAGGGTCTAGTTTTAATCTGTGGCAGGTTGAAATCCAGTTTTTCCAACACCATTTATTAAAGAGGCTATCTTTCCTCCACTGAGGATGGTCAGCTCCTTTGTCAAAGATGAGGTAGCTGAGTACATCTGGATTTGTTTTTGTGTCTTCCAGTCTGATTATATTTGTAGAAGCAACCTAAGTAGTAGCAGGAAAGAACTTCATCAGTACCCTGATATGGCTATTGTATCTGCAGTAATATCTAAGACAATTAGTTATAAATTAATGTAACTAGTTAATTAGTGCAACTCAGCCTCACTTTAAGTATTTGCTTTCCATCTGGAAACGATTGCCAGTCCATATCTGTGTATTTATATAATTGTTAAAAATAAAGCTTGGAACTAATGTGACATTTTTCATTTTCTTGCTGAGCCCCTGCATCATTATTTGTAGTAAGAACGGCATGTTCAGTTTTTTTCTATGCTATGGAACCAACAGGATGAAAAACAACATTGACTTTGAACTATAAAGTATGTCTTTTCCAATGTATTATCGAATAATGAAATATTTATATTTTCTTGCTTAAATCTTTTAATTCTGGAGGAGAGTAAACAGTTTATAAACATAAATTATTTTAAAATTAATGTTTACTATACTTGGAAAATATCTTGGGGAATAATCTTCAAAATGTTGCATAACACAGATACAAAGCCTGAAGTTGGCAGCACTTTTTATTTCTCTCTTCTATCTTGGCAATCACTATTCTTAGATAATTGAGTTTTGAAAAGGTTTTGCCTTCACATAACTTTCTAGTTATTTTTGTGCAAGGAATCTTGAAAGTCCCTTTTTGAAAAAGAGTCCTTTGTTAGGAAATACAAATTGGTAAGGATTTTGTGTAAATCATTTATCTGACTGGACTCACTTTGCAGCAGGTGCCTTTGAGCCGCTCAGCCATCTCAGCTCACCTCCGACTTCAGCTATGCAGGTGGCAGACATTCCCATGCACCTTGATGGAATTTCTCTTCTAGTGCTGTTACCATCTGTCCAGGTTTCTATCTTAGGACTTTTGTCAAAGGGACAGGTTGGCATGGCAGCCCTAAAGTGTGTGGAAGTTAATGATTCCAAAGGACCCTCGACCAACGGAGATGGGACTCCACAAATGAATGTTTCAGCCTTAGATTTTTAGGAGAGATAGCCCCGTAACGCATTTTACACATGTCTCATATAGTTCTACAAAGAGTTCCCAGGGAGACTGAGGTCTGATTGTCCACAGCAGTAACTTCTAGTACCACACATTTTATTGAGTTTTTCTTCTTCCTGGTCTCCCTCTTCCTTACTCTCACTACCTTAGATCAGCTCTCCAACAAACTACATGCACAAAAGTCCTTGTCTCAAGTTCTGCTTTGGCAGGAACCAAAAGAACACATGTAAAAAGCCAGTTTGGAATATATAGGCGTATATATCAGTTCAATACCGGGATCAGTACTAGGATATGAGAATCATTAGTTTGAAATATATGCCCCCTTGATTGCCTGATATAAGTAGCCATGTTCCAAATCCTCCTGAATTAAGCTTTTTACCTGCAGGTTGAATGACTTTTCATATGGGTATTCAGGAACTGTATCTGTCACTTTTAAGTTCCCAGTATAATTCTGCAGTGTAGTTTGTCAAAAATCTATACAGAAAAATCTAGATGGGCATTTAACTGTCAAGCTAAAGTATTCTAGAAAAAAACATTTTGATGAAACAATCCTAATTTTTTAATGCTTTATTCATTCAATTATGAGATCTTAAAGCTACAAAGTTCTCAGCCCTAGAATTCTTATTTAATAGGAAAACTGAGAAACAGAAAGTCAATTTCTGATTTGACCTTTATTATTTATTTACATTGATCTCTTTACCATTCTAAATGACATAAATGAAACCTCTGAAATTATAAATATGATTGGGCAATGATGATTTAAATTTTGTACATGTTTATGGCTAGGACCACATGGAGCTAAAAAGCATCATATAAAGGAACAAGCACCCTAGGCACCCTTCTAGGACTTTTCAATGGGAGAATACAAGCAAAACATTGCCTTCAAGTGTGCTAACATTGTCAGGAATTCCATACTTATCCAAGGGATATAACTCTATTTTAAAAAATACTTATTGTCACAGTTTTTGACTTTGACCACAATCACTTTGGAAATGGCATAGTATCCCCAATCCTACCAGCACATTAGAGTAAAGGTGAAATTTCAATGTTCTAGACCTCTTTGGTAACCTGTTGTGACTTCCTCATCTATGATTTTATTTATGACCTCCCAGAATTTTTAAATTTTAAAATTATTGTTCTTGAATTTCTCTACATCCATCAGATATTATTTTTATAGTGGGTCAGTGATTACACATTTATAATTGCACAGAAACATTGGAACTCTAAATTTAATTCTGTGCTTAGAATGTTTTTAAGATGTGAGTAATTGTCACTGAGAAGAACAGAATTTATGCACGCAATTTGAATAGAAATTAAAGACTGGGGGAATTTCTTACTTATCTATTTTGTTAACCTGTGTAGTATGCTTTTAAAAAGGCTCTTTAACACTTTGCATTCAAGAGACTCCTAATAACCCAATAAGAAACAAACAGTGGGCATTGTTAAGAGTTCTTGTGCATCAAAAGCCCCTGTCGGGCCACCAGGTGACTGTGTTAGTCTCAGTCACTTGCGAGTGGACTTCAGTTCCATGGTGTGATGTTTACAGCTCCTTTATTTAGCTAAGAAACATCTCAAGAAGAAAAGCAGAGAGAAGGTATTTGCTTCACTGGATATCAGGTCTTACAATGATGCCAAATTAGAGTATATCAGAATACTTGGAATATATAAGCATTTATCTCTTAGACACTGGGCTAAGAAAAAATATTAATCATTATGACACAAAAATATTGATTTTAAAGATTGCATATTAAGCTGTGTTATAATTCAAAATATTTAGAATAAAAAACAAAGATAAATGACAAAGCATAATAATCTTGCTGAAGACATTTACAATGAATGCTCTTTAAATATATAAAATACATCCATGGTGCTGCTGCCTGCCTCACAAGCACAAGATCCTGAGCTCATTCCCTGGTACAATACACACACACACACACACACTCACACACACACACACACACACACACACATATATGCACCGTATAAATATCTCCTAATGTGTGTGATCAATAGAGAGTAGGAGTTGGGTGAATTTCAGCTGTAAGGTGTGTATAAGCCTACAGGTCAAATATACATACACACACACACACACACACACTCATACACATATATTACATCCTCAAAACAATAAAAGTACAAACAACTCAAAGGAAAACTTGGACAAGAGATATGAAAAGACATTTTACAAAAGAAACACATTACCAAAGAGGAGAGGAAGGGATATCCACATATCCCCATCATTGCATATGGGGAAATACAAGTGAAGACCAGGATGGAAAATAAGCAGCTATTTTACATACATTTTTTAAAATAGCCATCAAACCAAGTGTAGGAGAGGATGTGGGTCAATAGTTTATTTTCTCAATGCTGACAAAAATGAAAAATAGTGCAACCTTTGTTTGAAAAATTGGGCGTTTCTGTGCAAGTTCAAAAGTTATATTCCGTTGACTGAGCAGTTATCTTACTAAAGAGAAACTGCACTTGTACGAAAGACATGAAGTATGAAATGTAAAATATGCACCGGTCTGCTTAGATCACAACAGCAGTGGCCAAGAAATAACCCACATTCACATCAGAAGGAGAGTGTATGCAGGGTGCATTATACAGCTGTCAAAACAATTAAATACAATGAAAGTTAACAACACAGATGATCTCAGCACAGTACTGTTCTGGAGAAAAGTATATTTCAAAGATTATTAAATTTTGCTCTGTATAAAGTCAAAACTCCAACAAATATTTTTAAGAAAGCATGAAAATTAAATGAATCTATGCAGTATGGAAAATGTTGGACTAGATTTACTGTGGTGCTTACCATGGGTATAGGGAAGCAAGAGGACAGAATGGATATTGGCAGAGTAGAGGTGTATGTGGCTTTCTTCCTTAATCGCAGGATCTGGCCTCACTTTAGTTGGCAGATTCATGGGGTAATGTTACATTGTAAAAGGTAATTAGTTAAAAAAACAAAAGCAGTGAGCTGTGCATGGACCAATAATGAGACTACCATGTATAGCAGAGTTTACAGTAAAGAACAAATAAGGAATTTTAAAATGTACCTTCTATTTGAATATTTGCTTAAAAGCATACCTTAAGATTATTACCAACACGATGTTCATTGAAAATTAAAAGTACGTGCTCTTGAATTTTAATGGGAAATTATGTAGAGCTCTAGGGTCCCAGAAATAAGACCAGTTTGCCAGCTGTGCAACCTGAGGAAAGTCACCAAACCACTCAGCTCCTCTGGTAGTTCCCATGAGCGTAGAGGAGGCCAATTAGTACCTACTTCTTTGAAATTTACTTTGAGTTTTCAGCTTGCCATTGTGGTGCAGAGAAAAAGCACATAATAAATTTGGGTGACATAAGCACAGATAAAGCCTGTACAGGCCAGAACACACTGTCGTGAATAACATTTTTATTATGTTTCTATTTTTAAGCACGGTGCACCATGCATTTCTGTCATTCAAGCAGGGAAATGTTGACAATACTGTCAGTATTCTTATTTGTTCTTATGAATCAGGCAAAATGGTGAGTGACTGGGAATATGCACCGTATAAATATTTCCTAAGTGTGCGAACAATAGAGAGTAGGTGTTGGGTGAATTTCAGCTCTAAGGTGTGTATAAGCCTACAGATCAATGCATCTTTTTGTTTTGCTTTTTTCAAGTAAGTTTCCATAGCACACATTTTCAGAGTTGTGAAGATAAAAATTCAAAAGGCCCCTTGCCATTAACCTCCCTCAAGATGCTCCTTCTCGCTTCAAACACATTTATCTTGTCATTCGTCTTTTCTAAAGCGGCTCTGGAAGTCTTCTTTTGTATCTTTAGTGGAGCTGTCATGGCTGCCCTGATGCCTGCATTGATTTAAAATGTTTACTCCCACAATCATTTTGACTTTGAGGAAGAACCAGAAAGCGCACAGTGCCAGATGTGGTGAATAAGGTGGATGAGGACACATTGTAAGGTTTTTACTTGACAGAAACTGCAGTGAACTGTTGATCACCAGTGATTATCATAAAATACAATGAAAGTTTAAATTTTAAAAATCATTACAGTAAAAGCCACGTTCTTATTAATTCCCCTCAAAATATTCAAAATATACCTCTTGCTTTAAGTATACTTTTACCCCACCATGCTTGGCAATGTGTCTTTTACTGTAATAAGCTTTAAAAATTTTTGAACATTCACTGTATCTTTTGATCATTCTTTGTACTTGCTAACCTATGGAAGCTGATAAAATGAGTTGCTTTTGGATATTCTTCATGTTTTAACTTCTTTGATTAGCTCTTGTAACTGTTTTTTTGTTTTGTTTTTTTGAGACAGGGTCTCACTATGTAGTTGAGACTGACCTGAGCTCACCATGTAGCCCAGGCTGGTCTCGAATTCACAGCGATCCTCCTGCCTCAGCTTCCTGAGTGCTGGGATTACAGGCGTGGGCCACCACGCCCAGCAATTGTAACTGTTTTTTAATGTGTATGTTTTTATTTTTTACTGCCCATTCCCCTTCCACAGCCCTGCGAACAAGGCCGCCGTTTGAAGCGAATCCATGCTGTGGCTAACATTGGCAGGGCACTGAACTTCCTTGAAGGAAGGAAGGTAAGAGAGAAACAAAAGTGAAACGGCTATAGAAGAAAGCGCTGGGATACTGCATTCCAGGACTGGCTGTGGAGTAAGACCTTGTATGCCTGTATGCTATTCATACAGATTAGATAAACAATATCTTTGTGAAATAATTGCAGATTTACAAAACATTTGCCGAGAAGACTGCCCCCGCCACACACACACTTCTGCTAATTTTGAGAATTTACACAACCATAATATTGTTTGTGAAATTAAAAGATTAGCTAAAAAATTTTAATTGGCAGTGATACTGTTAACTAAAGCATACACGAGTCTAATTCCATCAATATCTCCTGTTGTTTCGTTTCTATCCCAGGATCCAACTCAGTACACCTTGTACATTTAATTATCTCTCCACTCTATGGCAGGTTTTCATTTCTTTTTTTAACCTTTGTGACTTTTGAGCTTTTTGATATTGCTGGTCCATGGTTTTTGCATTGGATTGAAATTATACTTTGTGATACTGTATTCTGCTCCATGTATCGTATTAGCGGATACAGGATTCTGATATTCCCGATGAAATGAACCTTGGTCACTCAGCAAGGCAGTGTCTTAGTCTGTTTTCTGTGGCTTAACAAAATACCTGAAAATAGGTAATTTTTAAAGGTTAGAAGTTTATTTGGAGACTGGAAAATATAAAAATATATTGGAAGCTTCTGCTCGGCATATCCATGTTTGTTTCTACTTTCCCTGACAGTAAGAAACTTCACTCGAATCTATAATATATTTTTTTAGCCCTGGTACTATATACACTTAAGAGAGTTTCAGAAGTGCAAATCCATATACCTGTAAGAAACAGATTTAATAACTGGAGAACAGTATTTATGTAGTGTTTTTCTTAGTCTTCATCATTAATGTAACCGACCAATGACTGTTTTCTGAATGTGTTGAAATCAGTTCTGTTCTTATTTGTGTCTTTAGTGTGTTTGCTTCATTCATTAGTGATAGAGTTAAGTTCATTTATTATTGTTTGCTTCTTGCACCCCTACAGAAAGAGGGAGGAAAGGAAGGAAAGAGAGCGGGGGCAGGGGGAGATTTTGAATACTTTGGGGAGTGAAGCATTGCTGTTTTTAAGAGTAAAAGTTAGAGTACTGCAAGTTCTCCCCTCTTTTCTACTCTCCATTTTCCTTCTCATGCTTCTAACTCCATTTCCTTTCCCCATATAACTGGTCTCTCTAGTTTCTGATTTATTTTCTGTACTTCTTTGCCCAAGTGAAATGTGTTTTCATATACCTCCTTTCTTACATGAACAGTAACATTTTATAGTTTTCTTACCTTTCTTTAAATTGAAAAGTTTATCTTGGAAATCACCCCAAATAGATTCATAAAAGTTTCATTTTTCATTTTTATGGCTGCATAATATTCCATTGCCTTAATGTGCCAGTTTGTTCAGCTACTCTCTTATGAGTGAGCATTGAAGTAGTTTCTAATAGTTTTCAAACAGAAATCATGATGCATTTAATAATTACATGCATAACTATTGTCATATGACTAAAAGTGTGCCTTCTGAGTAAATTCCCAGAAGTATGATTGCTAGTTCAAAAAGCGTGCATGTAATTGTGCTAAATATTGCCACATTTCCTTCCCAAAGGGCTGTACAGTCTTCTTAGATTTAGCCTTTTCTAATTTGGGGAAATTTAGCCTGGCTTCACTTGGCATATACCAAAGCCAGCTTTATAGAAGAATATCCACACCATTTTTGGACAGTAGAAGGTTCAACAATTTCCTTCTCAGTTTGCATACACTAAGTTGATTTGCTCCACATCTATGTAACTGAGTACATTTTATAAAACAAGAAAACTTAGACTCTGGCCCTTCATAATGTATATTTTGATAAGTTGAATCACCAAAGTTTAGTGAATCATACAAACTCCAGGCTCAAAAGAGTTCCAGGCCTTAAGATAATGTAGAAAAATAATCTTAAATTCTTATACAATATTGGACAGTGTTTTCTGATCATTCTACTCTTTCTTATGGCAGTGTTTCTGTTCTTCTAGCTTCCTTGTATTAGTTTTTCATAGAAAGCAGAATGAAGTCTTATTGAACAAGATATTAGAGGCTTTCAGGACACCTACCTCCTTTTTCATCTATATGACAATAGTGCCTTCATCCATTCTGAGGAATAAGCCAGGTGTGATGGAACACAGCTAGAGTCCGAGCAGGCTGAGGCAGAATCACCTCCAGTTTGAGGCCAGCCTGAACTACCTGTGTCAAAAACCATTCTGAGGAATATTTGTTGCCTAGAAAATAAAAGTACATTTCCTCTTATTAATTCTGTGGTGAATTATTCAATGACAACCTATGGATGGCATTGTTTATAAAGACCTTTTTAAAAGAGGACTTGACTTCATAAGGTCCATTTTCACAGAACAACTTGAAGTTAAAATATAAGCACAGAAACCACATTTTCAATGTTATATTTACAAAGGAAAGAAATAGTACTTCTTGATCTCTAACAAACATTTTTTAGAGTAAACTATCTACAAATTTCTGAAATTTATTTTTAAAAGCACCTTTGGTGAGATCTTGATTGTGAGTTATTGAACTAAAAGTTTGACGAGTATTTCATTATCCTTTTCTAATTTCTCTGGTATGACGAGCAGTTAGCTGTTGATTGCATGTTGACAAAGTGAGAGCCTTACATGGTATATGATAAGTCCATTTTGCTTGAGCTTAGAAATAATTTTAATTGCTGGGAAAAACATCAAAATGAATACTTAGGGGCAATTGTGGACAGGTTGTCTTGAATGCTTTATAGTTTTTTTTTTTTTTCAGCTTTGAGTTTATAGTTTTTGTTGCCCCAAAGTAGGCACTAAATGCCAATAGTCTTCCTCTATTCTACTATGTGTTGGCTTTTCTTGGTTCTTCTTCAAAGTGTGTTCCCAAAGTCCTGCTCTAAATTTTCTACCTTTTTATTTCCTTTTAACAAATAATGCTGATTTGAAAGGATATTTATGCATATCACCTTCTTTGTTTTTCATGTCAGTCCATGTACAGAGGATCACCGGTTAGTACAAATTTTAGAATATTTAACTCCTGATTTTTATATGTAAAAGAGAACATAAGTTTCATGATATCTGGTAGCAAACTTCAAAGTAAGTGTACCTTCTTAAACTACTCATCACAGTTTAAGTTCCAGTCAACCTCTAAATGTAAACAATAACTGTTTTTGTTTTGTTTTCAGTTTGGCCTTTTTTGTTTGATTATTCCCCTGCATGAAGTTATGCACTTTTGAAGATTTTGAAGTCCATCTTTCAGTTGTTTTTACTTTGTGCACCTAACGCAAATACCCTTGAAAATGTTCACTGAACCATGTGTTTTAATGGCTCACCCTACTGACTTTGTGTATTGCTACATAGGCATGAACAGATCTCATTGATGTCTAATAAAGTAATAATCATTGTAAAATGCATTATAACATTCAAGCACATTACTAGTACAGCTTTTCTTTTTACACAGATTAAATTAGTCAACATTAACTGTACTGATATAGCTGATGGCCGGCCATCCATAGTTCTTGGCCTGATATGGACCATTATTCTATATTTCCAGGTATAGTACTTTTTTTTTTTTTTTAGTTGATGCACATCAAGGTGGGAGAGAGTGGTAGACATGTTATAATACCTCCATGAGATATGTTTGGATGGCCTTCAATTTAACAGAAATGAGACCTTCATCTATACATAGGAATTCGGTAATAGGAGAATTTTCTCTTCTCTGCAAAAGTGTTGTCTATGAAACCCTCCACCACAAAGAGCTCCAGCCACAGGCTTAAATCTGAAAAGTGGGTGTGTCATAGCAGAGATGAAACTTAGTGGAAAAGAAATATAAGGAGCTAAGGAAATTTCCCTCTGGCAAAGAGCAATTCTAGAGTAGCATTAGACACAACGGGGAAATAAATTGTCATTTCTTCCAGATTAATTTTGTAACCTTAGGTTTTATTTTATTAATCATATTAATCTGTTTCCCATTGCTACAACAAAGGAAAAAAAGGCTGAGTAACTTGTGAACAAAATGTCTACTGAATCTCAGTTTTACAAACTAAAAGTTCCAACAGCATGCAGTCGGCTTTGGCAAGGGTCCCCCTGGCTGCATCCTATCATGGCAGGAATGTGTGAGCGACAGAGATGGCACATGGTGAGGTAGGAAGTCAGAGAGACAGGGAAGTGTGAGGACTGCTCTTTTATAACAACTCCTCATAAGTGCAAGTGAGGGTTGCATAAAAATATCAATTCCTTCTTCCCAGTGAACTGCCCCAATGACTTTCTACTAGGCACTTTACCTCTTAAAGATCCAGAATCTCCCAATATTGCCACACAGAAGACCAAGCTTTCAACCTATTAACCCGTGGGGCACAAACTCAAACCATATCCAAGCCGCAACATTAATTCATTACTGTACTGAACAAATATTGCTTGTTAATTGTCAGATAGAACTTCAGTTAGAAGTGTGATAGGAAGTTAAAAAGGAGTAAGATCAACCATTTTGTCAGGGCTGTTAGGGACCTTAAGACAAATCATTTTTGGTTAGAGTAGACTCTAAAGAAAGAGAAACAAAGGTAATTCTGATAGTTCTGCTGGCTGTTACCTCAAACACAGATCGAAGAGCTGACCAGCAACCTGCCACAGCTACAGTCACTGTCCAGCAGCGCATCCTCTCTGGACAGCATTGTCAGCTCAGAGACCACCAGTCCACCAAGTAAACGCAAGGCAGCCACCAAAATCCAAGGAAATGCCAAGAAGGCGCTGCTAAAATGGGTTCAGTGCGTGGCAGGCAAGTAAGTACCAGCAGTTCATTTAAATTTGAATGCTTGTGATAATTTGAGCTTTCAATTTATTTACTTTATTTACCTTCCAATGATTGCAGAATTTGAAGAAACATTTAAATGAATGCCTTTGCTTTAGCTTTGTTTCGCTCATCTTAAATTAAAATATAAACATGAAATCACTATTAATACTCCAGGAAAATGCTATAATAAAATTAAGTCATTCTTCATGTGATTGTGCCTGATTAATTAAATTGATTAAACTTTTATTTTTGATTAATAATATGAAGGCGAATTACAATCAGGTCATTATTTAGAGTTTCTGCTCCTATTAAATAACCTACACAAATAAATTATAAGTTTAAACTTGATTGTCTCTTCATAAGACAGTAAGATGATATATATGCAAACTAAAGTGAACATTCTGAAAACAATTGTATTTATTTTTATTTCCCCAAAATTTCTAGCAATTTATTAAAATATTTTTCCTTTGGTTTTATCTGTCAAACTAAAATCCACAGTCAACTATAGTTTCAAGGGTTGGAATCTAAATTTGCATGTGTATACATTTTGTTATAAAGGTGGTTAGAAAACTGCTGTCTCTAAAAGTATCATATCATAGCAATAGATTTCAATGGAGTTTTCAGTCAATTGTACCAATATTTTGTTGTCTGATGTGATGAGAAACAAATATCTTCTTATAGAAGATACACTTTTATTTAACTTTCCTAAACAATATGTAAAATTAACTTACTTTGTGTCTTGCTTTTGCACTCCAAAATGTAATGTGAATATAACTATCTACTTTGGGAAAATAGTGGTAAACAACTACTTATAAAATACTGAGGCACTATACATAGGGAGTGCTATTTTTAAAGTGTTTGAAGAGAAATATAAGGAGACAAAAAGCTAAATACATAGAAGATGTAATTAGTGTCCCTGATTTATGTAGTTTTGCTCAGCTTTTAAAGTATATTAGCAGTGTTCTAATTTGGGGTATCCATTTATGATTCAGCATGCAGTGAAAACTATTTCTGAGAGCAAAGCTTTGTGGGTCTTTAGAATATGTAGTAGAAATCAAATTTTAAAAACCCATCCCACATTGCTGGTGCACTATTTGATTGCAACACCTTTGGACATTATTAATCTCTGTTGCCATTTAATTGACCAGGGAGAGGAAATGGCTGGGTAGAAGCCTGGTGACCGCATGCTCACATATGTCCTGATGCCATTACAATTAAACTTTGTAATAGCGTCAATGTGATATTCTGTTGTCCATCACTCCTCACAGTATTACATTAACCTAAAATAAACTGATTTTACGTGTAATTAAGTAGCTTGTGATAAACTCAGATTTGGTGCTGTGGGAGTTGTCCTGCATTTTGTCTATTCATATATGCACTGCTGAGTTGCAAAGACAGGATCTGGTGAAAGGTCAAAGTCACTCTGCATCATGTATATTTGCAACATCAGTGAAAGTTGCTTTTGTTCTACTGGCATAAATGTCCAGCATCACAAACCTGGCCAGGATCTACCCATCAATACATCAAGAAGATGAATTTATCTGTTAGCTACAGAAATTGTAGAGGTTTGTGAATTCTACAAGAACACATGATATCATCGTGCTACCAAATGGCTGATGCCTTTTATACAAGCCTACTCGAACACTATCCCACGTTGTAATTTTCAAGAAATTTTTTCTCTGACATGGATTGAAGATTTTATAGTTTATATCCATTTAAGTATTTGAATGACATTGTTCCTGAAACTATTATCTCCTGTGGGACTCTCGTCTGGGTTTTCACATTCACAAGATTGAAGATGGTGGAAAGTGATACAATACCTAGTAAACACTGGGAAGATTGTCATAAGGTGTTCGCTATCTTCATGGAAAGTTGACAACTATTTGAAAAGTTTAAAAGAAAAAAATGGTTTTAGAAACACAATATAGTTAAGCCCCCTGCATTTTTAACCAATTTCATGTGCTAATAGGATGTATTCTCAGAAATAAAAGCATTAAGTTATAGTATTTGCACACTCATTGTCAACTGTGGAGAAGCAATAATTATATTTTAGGACAGAAATTACTAAAAATCACCAAATGAGATACGCACTTCCAGATTCCTTCTAGATAACTTGAATTAAATAGAGACAAGTAGAGGTTAGAAATACCTGTGAAATAGCTATGTTTCATATATACATCTTTTTTTCATATATACATCTTTTTAAAGTGACATATCTGAGTTTTATTTGGGTGTGTATGAGAGAGAATATTCTTAAATGAGAAGTTTGAACTAAAACTAAAAGTTTTCAGAAATATCACCTACTCATATAATGTAATAAGAAACTATCTTTATATGTGTATATATGTATAGTTTTAAACAAATACAGAAAAAAGAAAATGATCTGAAAGAATTTCAATTTTCGGGGGGAGTGGGTACTGGGGACCGAACTTGGGTCCTTGAACTGTGAGTCAGGCAGCAGTACCACTGAGCTAAATCCCCAGCCCAATTTTTCAATTTTTTTCAGAGTAGTCATTATTTAGGAGGCTCAAGAAAATTAGAAAATATCTAAGAACCAAGATGATTTCTGTAAAGGTGCAAATTTCCAATGATGAATGTCATTATATACCTTACATGTACCAATAAAATTAATTTCAAAAATAAACTAATGCAGTGATGATTTTGCTTTGCATTGAAATTACTATAAAGTTGCTATGACTAATTTTTAAAAGAAACTATATTTATATTATCTACCGAAGTGATCATATTTACAAATTCAACATTTAATCATGGAGAGTGGCTAATGTTCAGAACCTCATGTTTATAACTCTCTTTGTGTAACTGCCTGTATAACTGATAAGTTATAAGTAGAAAAACCTCACTGTGAGCTTGCTTCATATCTACTATTACCAGCTTAAACCACTGTATTAATTATAATTGCTTGGAATTAATCAAGTCCAGTATGTATTAAAGAACAAAGATTTACCACCACGGCATTGTTCTTAGGGCAGTTCCAAAAGAAAGTTTTAAAATAAAATGAGGGAATAGGAGCTACTCTATGGATTTATGGGAAATACAGCTCCTTTGGGTTCTCTGGGTATATGATTATATTTACTTAGCTAGATTGATGACTTAGCTACATTGTCTTAGTCTGTGGTAATGCCTACATGAAAAAAATGCTGCTTATTGCTAGAAATTGTTAGATATTTCTTTTAAAAATATGTAGTCATTTATTATCACTTTTGGTATTTTTACAATTTTTCCTTTTAAAAATTTTGTCATATGGTTTTCTCTAGACATGTTTTCCTTTCAAAAATAAGCATAGAGATGTGTTTAAATTGACCATCCTAATTACTGAAAAATTTCACATAGAAAATTCTAAGTATATATCTGAATTTATTTTGCTTAATTTTCCTCAAAACCAGTGAAACAATATAGTACATCATTGGTGAAAAGCATGAGGTTTTGCATAAGACCTTGAAGAAACTGCTCGCATCTACTAAAAATGTGTCCTGTGTTTGTCACTCTAAGGCAGGCCGGAATAGAAGTGAAAGACTTTGGACGCAGCTGGAGAAGTGGGGTGGCCTTTCATTCAGTTATCCACGCCATTCAACCCACGCTGGTGGACTTGGAGAAGGTGAAAAGCAGATCTAACAGAGAAAATCTGGAGGACGCTTTTGCTATTGCTGAAACACAGTTGGGCATCCCAAGACTGCTAGATCCTGAAGGTACATTGAAAAATCATCGAGAACACAAACAGACACTATAGTATATGTGCCTGTTTTACACTCAGAAATTGCATGATTTTTGAGAGTCCATAAAGGACAGAATGCTGGAGAAAAGTGGAAAGAAATAATATCTTTCTGTGCCAGTTTTCTCCTGCATAAATACTTGCCCACAGATTTGAGAACAAAATATGATGACTTCTTCTATGGCATTAGTACATTATCTGGATGAGGTGGATTTAATATACTTAAATTTGGAATGTGTGTGAGAGAGAGGAGTGTGAAAGGATAAATAATTACTATATGTCTCCAAAGAATCTGGAAGAAATAGAAGATTATTGGTAATCTAAAATCATATCTTTAAAATGTTGGTAACCATTCCAATGTTTTGGTTTCTATCATCCTGTCAGGCCAAATGGTTCACTAACATTTTTCATTCCAATTGTTTGGCACATTTTTGGTAAGGCTATGAATTTTAAGACCTACAAATAGAGCTAACCTCTTCCAAGCCTTCAAAAGACAATTTTGATGCCTTTAGTTAATTAGTCTGTTACATTGCAATAAAAGTTTCAAAGGGGATTTTGCAAATGTCATAATTTATCATTTTGGTTGGCAATGACAGAAATCTCTATTAATAAATGTATTAATGTACATGTATAGTGAAAATGTTTTTGTTTACAGAATGAACTTTCCTAGCTTGAAAACAAAAAAGCTCCCTGAGAAAGTTCAGAATTTTTCTTGAGACAGGAGGGAGGCCTCATTAGGCTCCTTTCCCCAGTAAAATCCTCCTGTGTCCTCCCACATTACCCAGTGGAGCCCAGGCCTTTCCCTCTTGTTTCTGTACAAGAAAACTAAGGGAGAAATTGCCCAGAAATCCCAGCCTTCAGCTTCAAAGGATGTGAGAGAGTCAAAACTTGTCCCAGTATAAAATGAACGCCAAGCATAAAAAGTTCTCCCAAATACAAGGCTATTGCCAATACAAGGTGATCCTTTATTTTCCAAATAAAAATTGCCTTCTCTAAAGTTAATTAGCCAAATTGAATGTATAAATGTTTAGGAGTACAGATTACATAGAGCAATAACTATCCTTATGAAAATTATTTTATAGTTTACGTACATCGATACTGAATAGTACCTACCATGTTGTCATATATTCCCTATGTTGTTTTCCTCTTCACTTTCACATTTCATGAGTTTTATTCACTCTTCACATGCTTCTTTAGCACCAGTGATTATCTCATTTCTTAAGGGTTTTTGCCTTTTTTGTTGTTTTTTGAGACAAGGTCTTGCCATGGAGTTCAGGCTGGCTTTGAATTCGCTATGTAGCCCAGGCTGGCCTCGAACTCATGACAATCCTCCTGTCTCAGCCTTCCAAGTGCTAAGATTACAGGTGTGGGCCACGACACCCAGCCTAATCATCTCATGTCTAAAATCACATTTGAGTCATTTAAGCAGTTCCAAAAGCATTTGTTTCCTTTTAAATCAAGTGACTTTCAACAATTTAAAAATACTACATTAATATCTCAATCAGAAAGATTCTTATAAAATATTAAAATAGTTTTATATTTTGACTGTGGTGTTTTGGGTTTGTTTAGTTTTCTTTTAGCTATACACATGCTAGGTAAAAATGTTATGATTTTTCATTGCCTATAAATGGATATTTTAAAGACTTGTTTATAATATTTGACACTAACTACTAAATATTTTAAAAAATCTTTTCCTGATTTATGGTACTGATTTTATTAGGTAAATACCTATCATTTCAAAACCACAATGGTTGAGATTGTTTTTCAGGCAGTGTCTCCCACAAAAAGTACTTGATTGTTTCAAAGTTCAGTAATTCAGACAGAATGCCCCATAGTGAAGAGTGAAGAAATCGGATATTCTTCTAAAGTAAATGTTGGGGGGGTGTGGCTTACCACGATCTGGCTGTAAAGAATAGTATGCAAGGGCTCTCTCTTATAGTATCTCATCTATAAGCATTTTGTACTTTCTCCTCACCCCAATTCTAAACTCATCATACTTTTTGTATTTAACTGCATCAAGCATCTGAAGAACTATTACAATATCTCATATTTCTGATAAATTGACACTGATGTTACTTACAAGGAGCAGGTACTACTTTCCCAAAAGCTCATTGTTAAAATGCGTCATCTTCTTGCATTATAAAGATTTCCACCATTAAATTAGATTTAAAGTCTTCCTCCCCCTGAAAAAAATATTTACAGTAATTTGATTTTCCTTCTGCATTGAGGACAGTGTGTTACAAAGCCTAGATTCAAAATTTGTATTATTTATACTCAGTGAATGCTAAGGAGCTGACTCTGATTTTAATTTGGTTTTTCCAGATGTTGATGTGGATAAACCAGATGAGAAGTCCATTATGACCTACGTGGCCCAGTTTCTGAAACATTACCCTGACATCCTCGGTGCCGGCACTGACGGGCAAGAGAACGATGTAGGTATTCATGATGCACTCAATGATAGCGGTTGAGCACTTTATAGATAATGTTTTCAAAAAAATAATTTGGAATGCCTTCTAACTGAGAAAGAAATAGCTGTCACCAAACTGGGAGGCAGTTTGTGGGAAAAGTTTCTCTGGTTGGTGTGTTGGCGATGTCACAGGGAACACTGCTAAGAAAGATAGAGGTGAGGTGCTGATGAATCGTGATTGAATCTGATTTTGACCTACAGCTTTCAAATGATGAATGATGTATATTTATTGTTATAAATGAAAAAGTATAAAAAAGCAAAAAAATTATCCGTACTTTTTCTCCTAGAGAAAATCTGTACCAGAGGAAAATTAATACGATAGTGTTAATTCCTAATATTTTTGTATGTATATATAGATACATAATATTTTAACGAAAGTAGTACCATAGAAGCCACACAATTTTAAAATCTTGTTCCATTAAAATTTTAAAGAACTAGGCAGATGGTTATGTATATGTACAATAGTTTATCCAAACAGTTGTTGGAAATTTCTAATATTTTTGTTATTATAAATAATGCTTTTGAACAATCATGAAATAAAGCCTGGTAAAATTTTTTCTTAGGCATGGAATTCTTAGGCCAAAAGACATGTATATTTTTAATTTTTTTTT